TGACGGTGCGATGTCTTGGTTCTCTTCTGCCAATTTGTTGCTTTGGTATTGTGCACACTAGGAGAGGACGTGTATGCGGCTGCGAAAACGGGCAGCGGCAAGACGGCTGCGTTTGCGCTCCCAATTTTGGACCGGCTTATGGAGGATCCCTATGGCATCTTTGCGGTCGTGCTGACGCCAACCAGGGAACTTGCGTACCAGATTGCAGACCAGTTCTACACGTTTGGCAAAGTGGCCAACTTGCGGCATTGCATCATCACCGGCGGCGTTGGTGCGTTCTTTTCGTTTTTGGGGATGGTGGCACGGGTTGCGATGTGTTGTCGTTGTCGTTGTTTTTGTTGTTGCAGGTGCAGTTGCTGTCGTTGCTGCTGATGTTGTTGTTGACACTGCTGTCGCCGTCGTCTACTGGTGCACCGACGATCCTTGTGCACACTCTGCCTTGGTGTGCATGGCCACCAATGAAGTGCCGAACGTCACGCGTGCTCGCATGATGCGACCTCACACGTGTACTGCAACACGTGTGCATGTGCGATTCACAATCACAGATATGGTTGAAGAGCAGAATGCGCTGTCTCGCTTACCGCATGTGGTTGTTGCAACGCCTGGTCGTCTCGCCGCACACATCACCAGCGGCGCAGAGGTCGACCTCTCCAGGTACTGCCACACAGCCGTATGTGTGTGTGTTTGTTTGTGTGTTTGTTTGTTTGTGTGTGTGTGTTTGTTTGCGCCGGTGTGGGCGCCTTTGTATCTCGTAGCATGTTGATCAAGGTTGATGGAGGGTGTTTTGTCTCTTGTTCTCCGTTCTTCATGTTCATGTTCATGTTCATGTTCTTTGTCACACCCCTCTTCTTCCACGCGTGTGATTGCTTCTCTCAACAGCGCTATTGTTGCTCATGCTGCCTTGGGCACCACTTTCCCTTTGCTTTATTCCTTCCACCTGCGTGCGTGTGCCCGCGCCTGTTGCAGAGTGCAGTTTCTTGTGCTTGATGAGGCGGATCGCCTCATGACCAACGCCTCCATGCAGCCCGATCTCACCACCATCTACAACGCACTGCCCCCCGAGCGCCAGAATCTCCTCTTCTCGGCAACGCTGCTGGACGAGCCTGCCGGCCCCATTGCACACCAGCTCCACCAGCCCCTCTACAGATTCGCCGTGCGTCACACCGCTGTGCTTGAGGGAGAGAGGAGTGTGTGTATGTATGTGTGTGCATGTGTGTGCGTGGTGTGCGTATGCGTGCGTGCGTGCGTGCGTGGTGTGCGTGTGAGGCTGTGTGTATGTGTGTATTCGCGCTCTTGTGAAAATATTGCCCTTGTTGTTTCGGTTGCCTTGACTTGCATGCGTTTGTATTGTGGCGCTTCCGCTGGCACCTACCTTCCCTGACTGACACACCCACACCCACACACTACACCCACACACGACACCCACGCACGTGACTGTGCCAACCGGAGCGAATTCACCCACGGCGACACCAATGTGTGGTGACACTCCTCTCCTACACAGTGCTCACAGCCCCTCAAACACACACACACACACACATACACACACACACACACACACACACACACACACACACACACACACACACACACACATAGGGTTGGCCGTACAGCGCGTGCGGGAGAAGGAGGCATGGCGCTGTCGCTCGTGGCGCCGCGCGACTTGACGCTCCTCAAGGCCGTGGAGAAGGACATCCACGTGCGCATGGACCAGTTTGAGCTTCAGGTGCGTGGCTTGCTCTGGGTTATGCGCGCTCGTGCGCTTGTGCTGTCATTGTTGTTGTGGGCAGGTGCTTGTTAGTGTGTGTGTGTGTGTGTGTGTGTGTGCTCGTTTCATGCGTGTGTGTGTGTGCTTGTTGTGCGTGTGCGTGTATGCGTGTGCTCATTTCCATGTGTGTTCTTGTCCTGGGTGCTTCTGATTTGGCTTTGCGCTTCTTTTCTCTGTGTGACAGAATGACGATGTGGTGAAGAACTTGAACCGGGCAGTCCTTGCATACAAAGAAGGTCTGTGGCCCGTGCGTGCGTGCGTGCGTGCGTGCTTACTTGCGTGCGTGTGTGTGTATGTGTGTGTGTGCAGTTTGAGCTCGATGCGTTTGGTTGACAGCGAAAACGCCGCTACCTCTGCCACTTGGGTCTCACCCCAAGACTCCTCATCCCTTACACACACACACACACACACACACACACACACACACACACACACACACACACACACACACACACACATACACCCCGCAGCGCAAATGAACCTGGAAGCGAGTGGGTTCCAAAGCAATGGGCCTAGTCGCAAGCAAAGCAAACAAGAATAGTGCTGCAACCGCATGCATGTGCCGCTGCATGTGCCGCCACTGTATACATACGTCGCTGCTTTGTGCCACTGCATGGTTGTTGCGTGCCATGCGTGCGAGCTGCATTGCATCAGTGCAACATACATGCGCCACGTGCCACGCCCCTTCTCCTGTTCCTCCTCCGCCCGTTCCTGGCTGTTCCTCCTTGCTTGCTTATCATCGCCCCATCCATGCTTGCTTCCTTGCTTGCCCTACATGAATATTGCACGCGCTGCGCCGCACCAGGAAGCAAGCCAGGATGCGCAGATCAACGTCCACGTCACGCACATGCGCTCGAGTCGTAGATCGCACCCTCAAGTGCGCACATTAAAACAGCATCACATCAACTGCCACGTGGCTTGACGCAACGCAAGTTTTCCTTTGGGGTGTGGGAATTACACCATTCAATTTTGCCACTCAATTCGATGCACCGTTAATGTAACGGCCACGTGAGGCTGGATCTTGTCACATCTTTATTTAATTTTCTGCGTTGACGTCATTCACGCAACGTGTCCACCTTCGGTGCCCCGAATTTTTTCCTCGAACTCGGCGCGGCCTCCTTTTTGGGAAACTTTTTATGTCCTCGTGTGCGCCTCCACGCCACGCACACAACTCTCTCACATCATCCCCTCCCTTCGCTCGCATCATCCGTTGTTCTTGTGTTGTGTTGTGTGCGCGCGTGTGGTGCTCCCGCGTGCCCTCTTGTGACCTTGTTGTGGGTTGCAGTTGACTTGCTTGTTCATTTCCCACACACCACCTGCTCCTGATCACTTCGAAAGTCGCCTGACCCACCTCCTTGCCGGCTTTTGTCGTCGACCGCCCCTTACAGACCCCCCTTTGTAGGTTCGCTCCCCTCCTTCTTTCCCCTCTTTCCACCCTCTTTCCACCCTATCGTGCTTATTGGTTCTTTTACGACCACGCCACAGCACCTTCATCCCACACACCCACACTTTTGTTGTTGTTATCGTCGTCGTCGTCGTCGTCGTCGTCGTCGTCGTCGTCGTCGTCGTTGTCGTCGTCGTTGTTGTTGTTGTTGTTGTTGTTGTGGTCAGTTGATCACTCCTTGACGGATTGGACCCTTGACCCAGGTCCCATCTGCTCCCTCCTCTTCTCTGCTCTTCGTACTTCCACCCCGCCCCCTCTCTCCCTCTCCCAGCTTCCTCCCAAATAACCGCACCGCGCCTTGGTTACTCCATTGCCCGCTTTCGCGCAGCGAGTTAGTTCACGGTTGGCACACCAGTACACTACCCACCGACCAGCAAACTTGTTGTTGCCGCTCTGTCTCGGGCGCGCACCAACACTCCCCCCCCCTTCTCCCTTCAGGAAGCTCTTACTTCCTTCTTCTTGTGTGTATCTATTGCACGCCTACTTGAACTGGTTTCTCTTGAACGCAGCCCTTTCCCTTTCTTTGCCACTGCTGCCCCACGTTCTTCGCGCAATCAAGCTCTCTCCATCAACCACTCACTCGGCGCGCCTCGGTTGATTGTGCTGAGTGACGATCAAAGACCTTTATACGGCTTGTAACAGCACGTTTTCGCAAACAACCCACCATGGCCAACAAGCCCGCCACCAACAACAACCCGTGGAACAACATGACACGGACGACCTCGCAGCCAACGCTCTCCACAACGTGGAGTTGCACGCACTGCAGCTCCATCAACACAATCAACGGCCCGGTTCGTTCGCTGTTGCACTTGAGCTTTTGCTTTTGTCATGCGCCCTTTGCCCTTGTTTCGTGTTCACTTCGGGTGCGCTTCGTGCCCACATGTGCCCTCTGTGACGTTTGCCTGATTGGATATGCTGTGTTGTCCATAATGTGGGCTTGGTCCTCCTTTTTGCGTGCGCGCCAACACATTCACTTCGAATTGCGTCGTTCGAGCTCGCTCTGTCCACCCGCCCCTCCCCTTGGCACACATCTCTCACTCGTCTCACTTGTCTCACATGTCGCACCCTTCCCGCCCGTCTCCTTTGCGCGTGTCGATTGTTCCCTAGGCTGGCATGGCAAGCGCCAACAAAGTCTGCGCCAAGTGTGACAAACCGCCGGCGTACCAACTCCAGCGGTCCACGTCACCTGCCTCCTCCAACTCGACCACATCTACCTCTTCGTCTCCCAACGCTCAGCCAGGCCCTGGCCTTCTGCAGCACAACCTCCCACAGCGGCGGCAGCAGCAGCAACAGCAACAACAACCGCCGCCGCAACAGCAGCAACAGCAGCAACAACAACAACAGCAGCAGCAGCAGCAGCAGCAGCAACAACAAGCTCAACAGCTGTCGCAGAACCAGCATCCGCACGGAAACCGTCAGGGCCAAGCTGGCAACCATCGACAAGGCCGTGCAGGCTTCAACCAGACCCAGCCTCGCACCGGCAATGGCAGACGTCAAACAGGCCTCGATCGACACACAAGTCGCCAGGGCTCGCGTCACAGCCATTTCAACAACGGCGATGGTCGAACGCGGCAAGCAGGCATGCGTGGCAATGCTCGCAGGGGCTACACCAACTCCGGCACCTCTGGAAACCGAGGGTCCAGGGACCACCAGCGACCTGGCCGCCGCCGTCACGGCAACGGAAGCCCCACCAACGCCGATGGGCACCTTGTCATGCAGACCATGTGCCACCGCTGCTTCGACGGTAGCCCCAGAGTCATCCTCGAGCTCAAGGGCGACGCCATCTGCGAGATTCATGGCGACTGCAAGCGCGACTACGTCCACTACCCGACGGGTCTCAAGCGACGCCAATGGCGTGATGTTCGCCCCCCACCGGTCAGTCATTTGTGTGTTGGTTGCTGTTTCAGTTGTCGGTTGTTGTTTCGGTTTGAGTTGTCGTTTGCGGCTTGGAGTTGATAACGCTGCTAGCTCCACACATGACTTGTCGCTTGTGTTCTCACGCCACACCTGGTTGGTTGGACCTTGGCATCCTGCTCGTGTAGGCAAACTATCCGTACAATCAATACACTTTCTGTGCGCATCTTGCAGCAGACTGTCCTCGAGGACGTGCCTGCCCTTTTGCGCATGGTGACCCATCGGAGGCCGAGTTGCTCACCTGGTTCGCGACACAGCCCATTCCTCAAGAGTGAGTCTGGACGCGTATCTTTGTCCGTTCGCCATACCACCTGCCTGGTCACGAAGTTTGCTTTGACGCAATAGCGTTCACGCACGCACGCACACACACACACACACACACGCACGCACACACACACACACACACACACACACACACACACACACGTACACTCATGTACACACACACACACGTACACTCATGTACACATGCACACGAACTCACTCACGCACACATGTACGCACACAACACCTTCACCACGAGTAGCAGCAAGCTTCCAGCCCCACCGAGCGCGAAGGAGAAGCAGAGGGAATGGGATTTCGTCCGCTTGCTTCGGTTGGTTACAAATACTTTTGTGCTGTCTCGTGACACAAGGGGGCGGGGTGTTGAGCGAGCTCATGATTGTTGAGTCCGTTGTCTTTGATGGCCTGCATGTTGTCCAGCTCTTGGTGGTGGCACCCTTCTGTCGTTGAATGTTTCCTGCTCACTTCTCTTACACCTCTCTGCTGCTGCGCCTGGTGTCCTGCTCGATTTGGTTCCAGGCTCAACTTGCGCCACTGGCTACAGAACAGCGGCTGCCGTATGAAGCTCGAGGCCCTGCTGGAGAAGATGCCGCCAATGACGGCCTGCATCACGGATATCACAAAGGAGGCGTTCCTCAACGCGTACCCGGAATTCAAGATTGTCGGCGAAGGAAGCGAAGCTGTGGTGCAGCTTATCATCACCGAGAGCGACCGCAACCGCCAGATCCAGCGCGTGTGCTCTCGCTGCTACCCTACGGGCCATGCCGTCGAGAAGACCAGGTGTGGTGTTGATGTGTGTGTGTGTGCATGTGTATCTCGCGGTTTGTACGCTAAGCACAGCACAGAATTGTCGTCACTTTTGATCTCCTTGTGCCACCAAAGCTATTTCCGCACCACACACACACATGCACGCGATCGCTCACATGTACGCATTCTTGCCCTGGTTTCATGCAATCACCGTTTCAGGGAGGTGAAGGCAGAGCATGCTGGATCCACGCATCCCATTTGTGTCTGCGACAGATGTGGTTGTGTCTGGGAGAGCATGTGTGTGGTCCGCAACAGTGACACCGGGCGTTTTGTCATCGTTCATGACAAGCCGGCCCTTGAAGGCCGCTTTGCCAAGCTGTGTCCGCTGAGAGGAAAGTGTTCGGATCAGGCTTGCACCTGTGCGCACTCCGAAGACGAGCTCGCCATCTGGTAAGCGAACCCACCTTCCCGTACATCGATACGTGGTTGCTCGTTGGTTGGGCCTCATGGTTTGCTTGTCTGCACGGGTAACCAGCCAGATTTGTGTGGCTTCCACAGTGCTTGTGCTGTTGGCACCAGATGTTGTCAATCCCTTCTCTTTGAATCTCGATCGAATCTCGATTGCAACTGACCGTCTTTTCTGTCTGCCCCACCACCAACATCACCACTGGTGCTCCCTTTCAACACTCCAGGAAAGACCTCATTCTCTTTGAGATCCTCTCAGAAGAAGGTGAGGTGGCCTTGTGCAGCACCTGCGAGGAGCTGATGGCACCTGAAGCCCTGACAGAGCATGAGAAGTCCGAGGCGCACGTGAAGAAGGTAAAGCAGGAACGGCCCCTTCTCGTTTCCCCAGCGCGTATTGCATGGTTTTTTTGTTGCCTGTGTAATGTACCGTGCGTGTCTCATTTCAGTTTTGAACTCCATTCTGTACCACGCATTGCTCCACTATGGACTCCATCTGCCACCGGCTCACGCTGAATCACAACCCCCTAACGTATCCCATACGCTGCAACACCGCTGTCCCTTTCAGGTCGAGGCGTGGCAGTCGTATACGACCGGTTACGAGTGTCGCACGCCGCCGACCGGCATCCACAGCAACTACAACATCCGAATGTGCTTCCGCCTCGACAAGTGCTCTCGTCTGCCAGACGAGTGCACTCACGCTCACAGCCACGATGAGGCCCTGGAGTGGGAGCATCGCCGACAACTTGCCCGCTTGGACAAGAGGTACAGCACAATACGGCTGGGAGGGTGGTGTGTAATGCGCATGTGTATGTGTGCTCGCGTGCATAGGGAGGGGTGTGTGGGCAGGATCACGTGAGCAAGCGTCAAAAGTCGCATCCAATCTCGGCGGAGTGTACAGCGCCACCATTTTCATTGCTGACACATGTGCTTGTTCTCTTTGTGACTTCGTTTGCTGCTGAAAACACACCCCCTCCCAGGCAAATGGCGACGCAGCACCCGACCTACTCATGGAAGGACGGTCGTCGGCCTTCAGGCAGCATCATCGCGGCTGTCGCTGCCATGTTCCTCTGCTGCAAGATGGGGCATCCAAACAAGGCATTCCAGCTTCTCAGGGGCACTGCCATCGACTTCTTCAGCGGTGTCAGGAACAAGTTTGACGACCCTCTCCTCGTCTACACCGTGAAGCACGTGAACAAAGATGCGCCCCAGAAGTGGGGTAAGTGCAGTTGCGAGATTTGTGTCACACACACACACACACACACACACTCTCTCTCTCTCTTTCACGCACGTGTATGTTGCTACAACATCCATCGCGCATCTTGCGATTTCAGTCCTCGCAGACGTGCTCATGTTTGTGGCTGCGCCTGCGTCTGCTCACTCTCCCAAACCACCCCTCTTTAAGCCAAACACGCCTCACTCTTGGGCGAACTTGATGTGGCTCTTACTGACCATGTTTCTTTTCCTTCCTTCTGCTTTTTGCCTCTGGCAGAGACAATCCTCAAGCTGCTCCTTGGAGAACGCCCTCCCATGCGTGATCGTGACACTGCCGTTCGCAAAGGCGGCAAAACCGGCAAAGCTGGCCGCTCCAAGGCCCACTCCGAAGATGTTCTGCGCGAAGGCAGTGTTGCAACGCCGCCCAGGCATCCTTGCCGCCCGGTTCTCGCGGGTGAGGACTTGAACACGCGCGACAAGCAAGGAAACACCGCTCTGCTGGTTGCCGCCAAGGAGGACCTCACAACCATCGTCATCAGCTTGCTGGCACGTGCTGACGTGGACGTGAACATGGTCAACGACCAAGGCGAGACGCCTCTGTACTGGGCCCTGAAGCTCAACAACGCCCGCGCCACCGAGGTGTGTGCGTGTGCGTGTGCGTGTGCGTGTGCGCGTTTGAGGCAATTTTTCCGCTTGCATCGCAATGGCCATCACATCAGCATCCTAGTTGCATCTGGCATCCTCCTCTCCCCCAACTGAATACAAGTCGATATCTCACACGAAAATCATCGCCTTGTCTCGCTTCGCATGATTCCATCCGACCCTGTATGTTGTTGTCTACAGCGTCTACTTCAGGCGGGTGCCAATGGCAGCATTGAGACAAGCATGGGCGACTCTCCTGCTCAGCTCGCGGCACAGCACCCCGAAAACCAAGCCTCGGTTGTGTTTTACAAGTGAGTTATATGTTAGTTGGTCGGTGCGTGCGGCTTGCATGCTCGCGTGTGTTTGTGTGTGTGTGTGATTGCGCGGGAGTGCGGCTGCTGTGCATGCTCGACACGCAGCTTGCTCTACAGTGTTGAGTACTTTATCCTCGCTTGCAAGTCACTGACACTTGCGTGCATTTGATGTCTTTTCATGTTGACTGGAAATCCAGACACTGCCGGCAGCATCCGACCCATGGCCTGTACGCGCCTTCCTTCATGGATCAGGCCTCCTGGATGGGCAACCTCCGCATGTTCATGCACCCAGGGGACTCACAACAGCCTGTGGTGGTGATGCCTGCCCTCGGCATGGCTGCTGGTGATTCAAATTTTTCACGCGTCATGTTCTTGCAGCACCCATCTCAGCTAGCGTTCGTGCAGCAGCAACAGCAACAGCATTCGCAGCAGCAGCAGCAGCAGCAGCAGCAGCAGCAGCAGCAGCAGCACCTGCCCCACCGACACCAGTACCAGTACCAGCAGCAACAGCAGCAGCAGCAGTATCAGCACCAACACCAGCAGCAGCAGTATCAACAGCAGCAGCAGCAGCAACAGCAGCAGCAGCACCACCACCACCACTTCGGGCAACAGCTGCAGCAGCAACAACAACAATTCCATCGCCAGCAGTACCATCAGCCAGCACAGCTTGCGCAACAAATGCAGCAGATGTCCTTCAGCGATGTGTCTTCCGGCACCATGCAGTCGACGACAAGCACTGAGCATTCTGGACGATCCACGGCGAGCTTTGGTGTTGTAGGCCAGGCCATGCCTCCTGTGCCAGCCCAGCACCAGGCACAGCCCCACTCACAACACACGCCCACGACGCTGTCCACGGAGGTTCGGCCGTACTTTCCACAGGACCATGCATTGCCGTACCGGCCAGCCCAGGAAGACGCGTTTTCTGCAGGCTTCTCTCACTCTGTCATCGGCAGCAACAGCCACACCACAACCACTGCCGTCAGCACCAACGCCAACAGCGGCAGCCATCTCCATCACGATGGCCATGGCATCAACAACATCAGCCACAACCACGGCAGCAACAGCGAGAACCATGGGCACTTTGGTGGAGCAGCCATGTTGCCTCGCGTGCCTGATCTTCCCACCAACTCCATGCCCTCTGCCGCTGACACACGTATGCCAACACCAGCGTCCCATCACCCACCATTTACTGCTGCAGCGCAGCGCCCTGCCTCCACCGACGGGTTTGCTAGCAGGCTGAACCAATACGACCTGTCTGCTCTGTTTCCATCGTCCAAGGTGGAAGGCACGGGTGCTTTTGGGTCGCCACGGCACCTGCCCACCACGACGTCTGACGACTACTCTGCCAACGGCGGTGGTGTGAACACGACAATGGCGGCACCCGCCACTCAGCACACGGCTGATGCAATGTACGGCCTCTCTGGTCTCACCGCAACCGCGTTCTCTTCAGACAACGTGACTGCCTTCATGAACGACCTGCATCCGTTTGACTCCCAGCACGACGACGTCGACGATCTTGCCTTTGTTTCCACTCACCAGTTGGTGGCCGACGTCCTGGACGACAACGAGCAGCCTGAACACCTCTTCGAGCAGCTCCAGCACCACCATTATGAGCAGCAGGCTGAGCAACAGCAGCAGAACCCACAGCAGCACGGAGAGCAGAATCAGCAGGCTGAACAACAGCAGCGGGACGAAGAGCAAGAGCAGTCGCGCAAAGACTATGCTACCAAGGTCCTTCGGGCTTGCTACGACGGCGACATTAGCGTTGTGGAGGACGCGTGCCGCGACCCAAGCTTCGTGCGGCAAATTGTTGACGCTGATGGTGCCACCCCTCTCCTCTTTGCCGTCAGCAAGAGGCACTAGTAAGATTCCTCTCATATTCTCCGGTTCTCCTCTGTTTTGTGCGCACTAAGCCGTGTGTGCATGCATGTGTGTGTGTGTGTGCGCGCGAACGTCGCGTCGCGTACATTCTCCTTTGAGTGTGATGCTGCCCATTGCATGGCATGTGCTACGCCTTCTTGTTTTTCTTTTGCTCATGTTGGTTGCGTTTCGCATGGCGGTTGTTTTAGTACCATGGTGGAAATGCTGCTGGCGGCCGGAGTCGATCCAGAACAGAAGCACTCCAACAGCCTGACGCCATATGAAGTGGTATGTCCTGCGACGATGCCGTGTGTGTGTATGTGTGTGTGTCCACCTGGTTGACTTCCTGCGCTTGCCATGTCCTCAGAGAGGAAGGCGGTGTGGTGTGTGGGGCGGGGGTCTGGAAGTCGAAATGTACTGCGTATCTTCAGTCTCACGTGCAGCCCTAATGCATGATCTGCTCTCCTTGCTGATGCCATCGTTGGTTGACAATCCAGGCCATGGGTTCAGGAGACCCAAAGCTGATCAGCATCTTTGAGGAGAACGCTAAGCAGTGACTTGTCTTCAGCTGAAGTCAATACGCCCCTGATTGTTGTTGTGGCATCGAGCAGCAGCAACAACATTCAAGGCGTGTCACATGGAAGGGTGTGTTCATCCGTCCAGCTTCTCGGTTTGCCTCTTCCCCTTGGATGGGTGAAGGTTTGGGTGTGGTGAGATTGCTGATGCAACGGGCATGGGTCAGGTCCTGTTGTCTGATGTTGTCGTACCCAAGCTCAACTCCTTCCTCAACCCTTGTTTTCATGTTTTGTCTCTTCATGTCTGTCCCTTTTTTTCATTGGGCCTCGCGCTCAATTTTTTTGGGGATGTGTCGGTGGCCCTGCACCTGTTTGGCCTTGTGCAACGAGGTTGGCCCCGAGCCTTCTTCATGCACAACGGCGGAGATTTAATTTATGTTCTAGTATGTTTGCGTCGTTGTCCATCCATATTCTTGAGTAAACGTCTATCTGCTTGCTTGCTTGTTGGGGATAGCGATGTGACGCAGTCATTTTTGATTGTGCCTGCCGCTGTTCACCATCCGTCTGTTCGTCTGTTCGCTGTGTCAAGACTGTTGTTTGTCTTCTTTGAGCCCAAAAACACCTCGGTGTTCGCGGTGTGTCTGCGGCTGGCTGGCTTGTGCCGTGCTTGCTTGTGGGAGCTTGTACGGGTCACACCATTCACGTCCACGTCGCACTGTGTTCATCTTGGCGAGAAACATTAAAATGACTTTTGAAAAAGAATTTACTCTGCAGCACAGTAAATCATGTCGTGTCTCACTCACAATCTCAACAACAGCAGCAGCAGTGGCTGGAGCACAACAGAGCAAAACTCATAACACAACATGGCAATTACGGAAGACATGGTCGGGGGGGGGGGGAACACAACGAAGAACTAAGGGTTGTGTGGGACATGTGAAGAAAGGCACTGGGTGGTCATTCATGCTGCCAACCGCCTTCGGGTGCTGCGCCGAATCACGACGGGCTCGTCAGGGCTTTCCTCGTCCTCGTCCGAGGCGGTATTGGTGAGGTGTGACTGAAAAACACAGTGAATGTGAGTGAGTGAGTGAGTGAGTGAGTGAGTGAGTGAGGGAGTGAGTGAGTGAGGGAGTGAGTGTCTGTGCGCACTGGCACGCACGAGCTCAGGCATTTCGTGGATTGCCCCACTTACATCTTGTGCGGAACCGATGCTGTTCTGTCGACGTGATTTGCGTGCCGTATCAACAGGGCTTGGTGCTGGCGTTGGAGATGAAGCATGCTTTTGCTGACGCCACACACAGCAGCATGACAAATCACAAACATACGCACACACGCACACACACACACACATACACACGCAGTGCCGGAGAAAATGTAAGAGCAGCCCAGTGCGCAGCAAGCAAGCACACAGCACATTCCCCCGAAAAGAAGCGGTTAGGGTTAGGGTTAGGGTTAGGGTTAGGGTTAGGGTTAGGGTTAGCACACATCATTTAACCATTGAAAGGGAATACGCTCGTACTCACTCTTGGTGATTTGCGAGTGGACGACGATGCGCGCGCGGTGGACGCTGTGCGTTTTGCACTCGACCTCCGAGCGAGACCCGAGGAGGCAGAGCCAGCATCATCATGACTGTCGTTGTCGCTGGCATCTGGGGAGGCGGCGCGACGGGAGGGGCGGATGCTGTCTTTGCGAGTGCTTGAGCGTCCTCCATGCCGTGTCTCGTTCTCCTTTTCGTTCTCCTGGCTCTCATCACTGCTGCTCTGCTCACTGTCGTCATGCATGTCCATGGCTGAGCGTGTGTTTGCTCGTGTAGATGTTGGTCTCTTTGTCGAGTGGTCTGCCTCATCTTCACTCTCGCCCTCATCAGAGGACGACGCCGAGGGGTGGCCCGAACGCATGGAGTCGCGTCCGCCACTTCTGCGGGCACTGTGCTGCTTGCGAGCCCTGGTGTTGCACAAGTAATGCGAATGAGCGCAGGTGTGACGTCGAGGTATGCGTGTGTGCGTGAGTGTGTGTGAGTGTGAGTGTGAGCGCGAGTGTGAGTGTGAGCGCGAGTGTGAGTGTGAGTGTGAGTGTGAGTGTGAGTGTGAGTGTGTGTGCGTGAGTGTGCGTGCAAAAACCCCGCCGATTGATGCAACGAAAGATGAAACGTGTACACGCACGATTTGCGGCAGGAGTCCTCCACCCATGTCTGCCGCTCAATCTCGTCGTCGTCAATGTCAGCCATGGAGCGAATGTTCTTCTTCGCGGCACGCGACGCATTGCTGTGCACAGTTGAGGAGGACGCGGGTGAGTGTGCGTAACGAAGTGGTGATTTTAAGTCGTGGTGGTGATGATGATGGTGATGGTGATGATGAAAGTGGTGGTTGTTGTGGAACAGGAGAATCGAAAGACACCAGCAACGGCTACGTGGAGCAGAGTTTGTGTTTCGTTGAGTGATGACCAGAGGTGCAGGCATGCAGCAGACAGGGTCGTATCAACACATACCGCCGTGTCGGCTGTGGCGTTGGTTTCTTTGCTGAAGAAGCTGGTGTCTTCTTGGGCGTCTTTCAGAGTGACGCACATGGAAAGACATATGCACATTAAAGGCACGCACACGCACACGCACACGCACACACACACACACACACACACACACACTCACACGTAAGTACACAGGTGCATTTGCCCCGGGATTCCAATACAGCGCGTCATAGCTACAGCCAGCACGAGACACACCCACACACGTATACATCTACACGCGCACACACGCACACCCACACATACACACACCCTTCTCTTTGTCGGGGTCTTGGTGGGCGTTCTTGGTGCTTTTCCTCTGGGTGTCGCTCGACTCTGTGACATTCACGAGGCGGCAAGGGCCCGGTAAACACCGAATTTGGAGGCAACGTGTCAGTAAACATGGAGCGGGTGCTGAAAAACGGCCGTGACAGGAGAAGGCATGATGATACCAAAGAGGTTCGAGAAGAAGAAGAAGAAGAAGTTTGACCTACCATGTTAAACTCACGCGGCGCCGATGGACGCGGAACTACAGCCGGTTACAGGCATAGCAATCGCCTGCTTCCAGTGCGGGTCCACACACCAATGCACTCCGGGTAGCCAAATCCAGCCGGGGGCCTGGGTTAGGTGACAACAAGCAAGCTATCGCGCTCTGATAGTTGAAGAAGAAGAGAAGAAGAAGAAGAAGAAGAAGAAGAAGAAGAAGAAGAAGAAGAAGAAGAAGAAGAAGAAGAAGAAGAAGAAGAAAGAAGAAGAAGAAGAAGAAAGAAGAAGAAGAAGAGACAGCACAGCAAGAACGTCCGAAGAACATGAGCAGCAGTTCGTTTTTGTTGTTGTCACCTTTGTTGGGTGCGACGCGTGAAGTTGAAACGACTCAGGCAAAACTCTCTTGCTTCCATCGATTGCCTGGCATACAGCGCGTTGTGGATTAAGACGAAGGAGAAAACGTGTGAGATTGTGCGAGACGAATGCAGCCAGCAAACTCGTGAAAATACACAGCAATGCACGCGTGTGGTGGACGCACATCCCCCATAGCCAGGGGGTGTTTCCAGCACTTGTCTTCAAGCACAAGGAGTCTAAAGTCGCACAACACAAACGCACCGTTTTTGGCCTGGCAAACAGAGCAGATGGCAACACGAGGTCGCCGGGAAACGACTTAAGTTTCCAGCCAGGTCGCTCAGACTGGCAAGTACAACACATGCAAGTGTAAGCATGAGAACGAGCGCAAACGATGACGAAGAAGAACAAGAGGACAACGACAATAACGAGCAGTGCCAGACATGAGCATGCCCGCATTCATTATGCACACATTTCAATGTGTGTGTGTGTGTGTGCGTGTGTTTTGGTTGGGGTTGGCGGCAGTCGCGGTGGTGGTTGACATACCCGTCTGGCAATGACGAGGAGCGCAAGATCGCACACAGCGCGCACATTCTGCACAAGACAACACGAACACACACCGGTGGGGGGGGGGGGGGAGGGCATCCATGATGCGAGTGAGAACACGTCAATGAGCACACCAACACGCGGCAAACACACGCACGCATTCTTCTGCACACATGGAACACACGCGGTTGCAGTAGCCACCTTTGAGTCTCCGTGCCGATCTTCAGCCAGCTTCATGACCTCCACGAGAGACTGCAATGCACAGAGAATGTAGCATCAGAAGAGAGTTTCAACGGTTGCAGCGCCTTTCCCGGCAACAAGTCCAAGACAGACAGCAGTCAAACACATTCCCACACACACACACACACAAACACACACACACACACACACACACACACACACACACACACACACACACACGCTCACTCACTCGCACAACACATTCCCCCCCCCCCACACACACACACACACTCTCTCTCTCTCGCACGACACACACCTTGAGGAACGTGTATTCCTCTTCGCCGCGGGTGCAGAGTTGGGCGAAGAGGAAGTCGAGGTACGTCTGTGTGTTGTGCAGCGCTGCATGGTCGTCCAGGGAAAAGTCCGGGTGATGCGCAATCAAGTGCACGACATGCGGCAACACGTACTCTGGCAGGTGGAGCGGCTGCATGGCTGCAAGTCGCAATCAGATTGTGTGTGTGTGTGTGTGTGTGTGTGTGTGTGTGTGTGTGTGTGTGTGTCGTTTGGGGTCGTGTTAGATGTGAGCGGGATGCCCGAACGCGTGCGCGGAAAAGGATCACACGCCATCGAGAGGCAGGAGCATCGTGAACCGGCAAGAACAGTACGCATGCACATGCAACTCGGCATCAATCCAAAAGCAGCTGGCATTCACTTGACACAGCTGCTACGCACCTTGTGGCAAGCGTGCGGCCAGCTTGCGTCGCTTCTTGATGATGGACCGCAAGAACGCAGCGCTCTGCTCCCTGCACTCTGGCTCTGGGTCGATCGCCGACAGCACGAGCATTGACATGTACGAGAGCGGCAGCTTGTGTCCGGGCGCATCTAGTCCATGCTCAATCTTTGCGCAGAAACGCTTGCGCACTTGCACGCACGAATCCTGTGCGTGTGTGCGCGTGTGTGTGCGTGTGTGCGTGTGTGTGTGTGCGTGTGTGTGTGTGCGTGTGTGTGTGTGAGCAAGCGTACACGTTGGGTTTGTTTGTGCGTGGGCGAGTGAGCATATGTGCAGGTGAACATGGGGTGGGGGTATGGAGGTGTCTGCTCGCTCCAAATGTCGTGTCCACTCATGCTGCCAATCATGATCCGTGCCAGGAACACACCAGGAACACGAGGCACAGCCCACGCAAAACCCAACCCAACGCGACGCAACACACCTGCACAAGGGTGGCGAGCTGCCGGAAGAGCGGGTTGTCGATGCGGGAGCGAAGGCGCGGGTCCTGTGCAAGCTTGAGGAATGCACAGCCGGCAGCGAGGCGGAGGCGACTGCGGTCAACAAGACTGATAGGTATGGCAGAGCACGGCGGATGAAAGAGACACAAGTGAGCTCATGGAAAGCCAAGTGCGCACCAGGCTGAAGTAGATCAAAATCTGGCGCACAGACACACACACACACACACACACAGACACACAGACAGACAACACAGACACAGGCACAGACACAGGCACAGACACAGACACGTACGGGGTGATGCTGTCACGCTGCAAGTTGCCCATTCCAACAAGAATGGCGGTGAGGATGCGAATGCACGGGTCCGCTGCGTCAGCGAGCTGCTTCTCCGTGATGTTTGGCCGCTGGGATTTACCCAGCACACGCCGCACAAGCAGCTTGATGCCCAGGACCTTTGAGTGGTTGGCGTGTTGTGTTGCGTCGTTGAGAAATCGGCGGGTGGAAGGGCGAGTGATTGCAGCAATGCATGAAGGTATGAAGCATGTGTTTGTGCGTGCGAGTTTGAACGCCTAGAAGCAAGCAAAAAGGAACACACACACATATGTACACGCATGCACACACATATGTACACGCACACAGACAGACAGACAGGCAGGCAGGCAGACAGGCAGACAAACCACAATCCCGTCGCACCTTTGCTTGGCACTCAAGCGTGGGCTCGTCCGTCCATTCCGGCGCGTCGTCTGGCGGTTCCTCAATCTCGGGCTCCTGCACACCACAACCGCATTGTGATGTGTTGTGTTGTTTTGTTGTGGTGGTGGTGGTTTGGGTTGGGTTGGGGAATGCAAGTGGGAGAAGGCGTGGGTGAATAGAATCAACGTAAAGGCAGGAAAGGGGGAGGTGGCTTGCAGCGCAAAGTGACAGCTGCGACTGCACAGCAGCAACGAAGCGAGTAAGTGAACAATACAAACACCCACGCACACGCACACACACACACACGCACACGAGGACTGTCCTTCTCTTCAAGTCATGTTACCTCGTTGTTCATGAGGAGTTGCTTGACGACAAAGTTGACTGTGATTTGGCGATCAAAGGCAGCAAACACGGTTGGCTCAAGCAGGGCAATGTACCCAAGCGCCTTGAGGGCCGGGAGAAGACGCTGCGACGTTAGACTGAGATCTTCAACACACGCCTGACCGGTGGATGCAGATGCAGATGCGGAGGGAAGGCAGGTGACTGGGTGAGCTGGCAGTTGACAATTGAGAATGAGGAACGATGGCACATGAAAAGCATAGAATGGGGTTACAAACGCTCTCCGGACCAGGACACACCGATCATGAACATGAGCTCAAAAGCAAGCAAGCAAGCAAGCAAGCAAGCAAGCAAGCAAGCAAGCAAGCAAGCAAGCAAGCAAGCAAGCAAGCAAGCAAGCAAGCATCAGCACCTTTGCGATGCGCTTGAGCAGCTGCTGTTGCTGAGTTGGCGGGGAGCTGTCATTGCCTTCGTCCCCGTCCTCATCTTCGGTCGCGGCATCAGCAAACATGGCGGCGGCGGCCTGCACGGCGCGCTTGGCAATGGACGCATCGCGTGTCGTTGTGGCAAGGCGAAGGAGGGGCGCCTCAAACAGACTGATGAATCACATTGGAGAGCGATTGGGTGTGAACGCGCGTGTGAAAATATGAGAGAGAGAGTGTGTGTGTGTGTGCGCGCGTAACTAAGTGGCGGTCACGGTCGCAAATGCACCCCCTTCCTTCTTCGCACACGTGTGACAGCACGTGCAGGACAGCCACAAGAGGTGATCGAAAGAACAGACACGCACATGCAGCAGAAAAGCAAAAGGGGCAATGCACGAGTGGCGAGAACGCGTGATGAAGGCCGCCGTTACCTTGCAAGCTCCGGTGCTGTGCTGTGAATGGCCGGACCAACTGCAGTCAGCAGTTTCAGCGCGGGGATTGCTGCAAGCGTTGTGTTATGGGAAGGGCGGATGTGAAGGGTGGTGGGATTCAAACTCACGGCAGAAGACAACGGCTTCAGCACACACGTTATTGCACAGCTGATCACTATCACACACACACACACAGACACAGACAGACCACGGCCAGCGCTTACTGAAAGGCGTTGCGGTTGCGGGCTTGAGGAGCGTGTGGAGGCGGCGCGCAACAGATTCGCGGGCGAAACGCGACGGATACGAAGTGGCCATGCGATGCAGCAGCGCCAGCGCCAGGCCGTCACGCGTCAGGTCGGTCACCGCAGTGTGGCTGCAGGGGGGGGGGAGCGATTGCGTGCATATGAACGTGAGTGAGTGTTAGTGTGGTTGTTGTTGTATAGTTGTGAGCGAGTTGATGCGTGTGTCGGGCGTGGGTGAGGTTGTTGTGAGTACGTGGGCGAGGTCGTGAGTTTGAGACATTGAGCGCGAGCAATGCGTGGATGAGAAGAAGGTGGACAGTGGAACGCGTTCGCTTGCAACAGCCAGAGCGCCATCATTGCGCACGGGAGCAAGCCCTTGTCACAGATCCAACGCACCGATCAAAGACCGAGTCAATGAGCTCGGTGTCGAGCAGAAGGGGGCAGCGAGGATGCACATGCTCAGCGCGAGCGGTTTCGCGCTCCCGGCCTTCTCTGCCACCTCAGACTGACGACAGGGATGGAATCAAAGCCCAAAAGCAGGTTGGTGGTGTGAGAAGCCAAAGTTGTTGTTATGCGCCCGCGTGCGGCAGAAGAATTGGTGCACAGAAGAGTGACTCAGCAAACGAGTGTACACACACACACACACACACACACACACACACACACACACACACACACACACACAAACATGAGCAGAAGACACGACCGCGTGCTGCGCACCTCAACTGTGGCAATCTCGAGGGCGGTGAGCGGTGCATCCTCGGTGCAGAGGCGAGAAAGCAGCGGCACCAGCTGCTTCAGCGATGAACTCTCCAATTTCTGCATCCGCTCCTGCGTTTGTGCGCTGTCCTCAGGCAGCATCTCTGCAAATATGGGCGGACGTGTGTGTGTGTGTGTCAGCGAGGAACGACATGTTCACGGCTGCTGTTGCGATCATTTCGGCAAATGACACACGCTAGCAACAATCAGGACACGTGCAAACAATCACCCCATCAACAATGGCAGTTTAGACGTACGGGCGAGTGCGGCGCGTGTGAGTTGCAGCCGCTGCTGTGGCGTTGCAGAGCGCGGTGTATCTCCCTTGTCGTCGTTTCCGTCATCATTCGAGTGCGCATCATCGTCGTCATCATCGTCACCATCATCCATGTTGAGTCCCTTGGACTTGTTCTGGATCTGACCAAACGCCTCGAGGTATGCGTGCAAACGCGTACGAGCAGCCGTTATCCACGCCACAAACATTGTGGCCGCGCCCTGCACATCGCCGTGCACGGCTTGCTGTTGCTGCTGCGCTGCGTGCGTGTCCGTGGACGTGTTGTGCTTATCACCGCTCGCATCACCATCATCCCCTGCAGGAATGTGCCCGCCTCGACAGAGAATGCACAGCCGCTTCGCGCGCTCGCCCGCGCTGAGATTTGCAGGGAGGAGGCGA